GAGCTACCCATCTCCCTCCCCTGATGGGAACGTCTCTGTTGCAGCTGCATTTTAGAATGTACTCCCGTGTTCCGTGTTCCCCGGTTCTGGACACTGCGATTCATTTGGACTAGTCTTCAATATACCGTTTGTTCTGATTCAATATTGTTCCCTTGGATGTTGTAGTCGGAATCGTGTAGTTAATCTCGTTGTGGTGTTCAGGATGTTCCAGTCCACTTTGGCCTTGTTTCTTTTATGATAAGGAACGTGCCTTATAAGGCACGCCTGCTCTTCTTGGAGTTACCAGAATGTTATCATCAATGCTGTACCCAGTAATGCTCCCTAACCCTATAGAGTAGTCACATTAGGTTTGCTTTCTGCTTCTGTTCATGCTTGCTTGAACCCTAGACAGGTGCTAAATGAGTTTTTTGGGCCTTAAAGAAGAACTTTAATTTGGACTTGGGACAGTCCAGTTATAACCGAATAAAAGACTCTTCTACATTATCGGGACATTAGAGCGGCTGTTTGTCTCTTTGTGTAACTTGGTCAGTCTAAGTATTGTCCTCTCTGTGTGTAAATGTAAGAACCCCAATAAAAGTATTTAATTAAAAAATGTCAAAAAATAATAATCTGTTAGGAATGTAGATGCAATTCACATACCCAAACATCACCAGTTTGAAGTGTTTAATATAGTCACAAGGTTACACAATCTCCCCATCATCTAACTTCACATATTTCTTTCATGGGTGTTCCAACATTACTTCAAAAACCCAACGTGGCCGGGAGGGGAATCCAGTTGGATGCAATGAAGGGAGAAGATGTCTTGACAGAAAATACCAGGCAAATAATTGCGCCCATGATCTCTGCAGAGACCGAAAGGCATCTTTTTTAGGGTCCCAGACTCAGTTTCCCTTTTCCTACACCCAGTTGCTCTTGAGTCAGCTCCAACTCACGTGACCCCAGACGTGCCACAACAGAACAGTGTGCCCTTAGGATTTCAATGGCTGATATTTTTTGGAGGTGGAGGTAGATCGCCAGGCCTGTCGGTTGTGTTTTGCGCAGATTTGAACCTCCAACCTTTCTGTTAGCCATCGGTTTGCACCACCCAGGAAACCCTTAAAGACCTGCATAGACTAAGTGTGACATGGACTTTGACTCTTGGACATACCTAGGCTCAATGCCCAGCCCTCCTCACTCAGCTCTGCAGTCTCACTCTCACCCGCTACGCCTTGGGTGCTTCATCTGTGAACTAGGGCGCTCACACCGCCTCCATCTCTGTGGTCGTTGGACGATTCTGTGTCAACTTGAATTTGTTAGAATGTGTAGGCGTGGACTCTAACCTGTCAATCAGGTCACAGCCCAATGATACCTACCTGGGGGTGTGGCCTTCTGAACAGGAGGACCCTGGGAGCCTCCCCCTCGCTCTGCCCCTTCACCTTCCTCCTTACTGGGGCTCTGCGTCTCTGCCTGCAGGGGCAGCCCCATGGGCCTAGACCTGGAGAACTGTCGGTGCTCTGCCGTTCTTCCACCAAAGACTCTGCTCCCACCAGCCTGTGAGCTCCCTGCTTCCAGCTTCACCTGCAGCTACGTGTGCCTGAAGAGGGCTCTGGCTACTATTGAACCTATGGACTTGAGTTGGCCTGGGCTGGGATGCCTTCTTGACACAAGATTACGTCTTGATGGAAAACTCTTTCTTATACATCTGTGAGTGCCACTAGTCAAGACGACCCAGCCTCACACAATTCCATAGGGATGAGATGACATCGAGGAAGAATCCTTCTCCCAGAGCTCGGCAGTCAGATGAGGCAGCTGGACATTGGCCCACACAGAATTCTCAGGGGACCTGAGAGAGTGAAGGGGGCTTTGCGTGTGGTCTCCCCACTGCCACCCTCAGAGTCACCAGGGCCCACTGGCATCCAGTCTTCGAAGGAGAGCCAGGAAATGTGGGGATACCATCCTGGGGTGGAACCCCTTTGACTTTCACTTTCACTTAAATAGAAGAGACAGGACTTGGTTGAACAGCCCATCGAAGTGGCTCTGAAGATACCTCCCGTGAGCAAAGCGTTGCTCATTGCTGGTGTGCG